TCACCTTATGGGGGAGACTGGCCTTAAGGTGGCCCCATGCCCYTGCCTGCTGGGGTTCACACCTGTCGTGCTATTTTAGTCAACTGTGACCAAAAAAAAACCTGATAAGAACAAATAGAGGAGAAAAAGTTCATTTGGGGGCTCACGGTTTCGGAGGTCTCAGTCCATAGACAGTGGACTCCATTCTTTGGGGCCTGAGGTGAGGCAGAATATCATGGTGGAAGAGTGTGGCACAGGGACTAGCTGGGGACAGGGCACTAGGAAACAGAGACTAAACTCAGGTCGCAAAATACAAACCACAAAGGCACACCCACCTGCCGCACTCACCGGCGGCACGTCCCTGTTGGGCTTCTTGCACTGAGCAGGCTGAGACTCTCACAACTCAGCAGCTTTCACCTCCAAACAAGCTTTGGGGGGACACCTCATATCCAGACCATCACAGGTGCCCTTTCCTGGGGGCAGCACCTGTGGCCTGCTATTCACCAATAGTCCATGCCAAGGCGGAGGGAGGTCTGGGTTGGGTTTGTCACTGTCAGTCACCGCTGGACCTAAGACCAGTGGCCCAGCCCCTGCTGGCCTGGGGAAGCTGGAGACCGACTGTGGTGGCAGCCCCATGTGGCAAGGAGCCCAGGCAGCCTCCAGCCGCCAGCCAGCCAGGAATGGTGTTTTCTGCAGCCAGACTGTGCTGGGGAGGACCCTTGGTCTTAGTCAGCTTTTTTGCTGCTGTAACTAAAGGACCCAACCAGAACAACTTCAGAGGAGGAAAGTTTACTTGAGGGCTCACAGTTTCAGGACGTAGTCCATAGAAGGCTGTAGTCCATAGGAGGCGGCTGCATTCCTCGGGGCTCGAGGCAAGGCAGAACATGATGGCCGGAGAGTGTGGCAGAGCAAAGCAGCTCACAGCATGATCAGGAAGCAGAGGGAGGCTCCACTCTCAAGATGACACAGCTCAGCTGGTAGGGTGCTTACCTCACACGCACAAGGCCCTGGGTTCAATCCCCAGTACCACCAAAAAAGAAAAAAATATATATAGATAGATAAAATATATGTCCCATAGCCACGCCCCGATGCTCACATCCTCCACCCACACTCACTCTGTCACTTCACTGACCACTCCGTAGATCCCTATCAGGGGTTAAGACTCTTACAACCCACTCGTTTCTCCTCTGAACATCTTGCGTTGGCTCACATGTGAGCTTTTAGTGGGGGCACCTCATGTCCAAACCATAATACCCTCCCCTGACCCAGAAAGCGTGTGGTGAGCCGTGCCTGAGCAGTGGGAAACTATTGACTAGTTACCTGTGAGCTCATTTCTGTCCTCTGAAGCCTGCCCTGGCAGCTGCATTTCCCAAGTGTGTCCCCGTAAGGTTTGGGGGTGGCTTCAGATGCACAGCCTTGCTCTCTGGGATGCTTCTGAGGGGAGCCAGCCAACATGCTGAGTGGAAGGCCCCAGGCACAGRCTCACAGTGTGGGGACACCCTTCCAGCCCCACCCGCCAGGCCCCTGTGGGAAGACACTGCCCATGCCTGCCTCACTCCAAAGTCCCGTCACCCCAGCCTCCCCGTCCTCTCAGCTGTCGGGATCAGGGACAGCTGTCCCCACACTCCCAGGACAGATGTCCTGACAGACCCCGTGGACACAGTGAAAGGCCRCGTTGAGACGCTAAGCTCCAGGGGCTTGCTCTTCAACAGGAATCCCTGACATAGTAGGTGCTCAGTGAAGATTAATGGGATACCCCCCAGGGAGCCTCGAGGACGGGAAGGTGGGCGTGATGGGAAGCAGCCCCAAGGCCCAGGGTGCCGCCTTCCTTTCTACCTTCTCTGCAGTCCCCCAGGGCCTGGCAGGAGTGCTCACTGGTCTACCAGGGGCCAATCTAGGCAGGAACTTCTGACCCTAGAGCTCACTCTGCAGGGTGTCTGCAGGKTCCAGCTGGACTGGGAGTCCTCTGAAGCCTCACCCAGGGGGACCACCCAGCCTGACAGATCAACAAACAAGAAGGTGCTGTGCCCTCAGACCAAGCACCAAGGGCTAACAAGTTGCAGGGAGGCGGGGAGGACACAGAGGTGACAGGCAGGACAAGAGCTCAGGTGGCTCTGTGGGCTCAAAGAACTTCTAAAAAGCCAGTCCGACCTGCTGGCCTCCAGAGGCCAAGTCCGGGGCTATGAGGAAGCTTGGTCCAGGAAGTAGGGGCTGGTGCTCTGCCCCAGGAGGCCCCCACCACCCCAGACGGCTTCAGAGGAGGACTGAACCCTGCCGTCTCCCTGCACCTCCCACCCGCTAGCTCTGAAGTCCTTGCTCACCACCACTGGTGGCACCCTGGTCACTTCATCTCACTGTTGGTCACCAGGGTGGTCCTGGGAGAGCTGACCAGACCTCCCTCTACCCACCACAGTGCCCTCCCTTGTTTCCTGCACCAACTGCTTCCTCTGCCCTGCAGGGAGGGCTCTTGTTCCTGCCACCCCCAACCCCTGCCTTGGGTGAGAAAATGAATGAGTGACCTGTGCTTGGTGCAGGGACAGGCAGGGGTGGGGGATGGAGAGGTGAGGGTGACTGGCTCAGGTTTCTACAACCAGAGTCCAGGGCAGGTGGTCCTGCCTAGAGAAGAGTTGCAGTGGGTTGGGGTGGACAGGGGTCAGGGCCAATCAGCAAAGCTGTCCCAGCCTTATCCAGCTTCCTGCACCTCATGGCAAGATGAGGTTCCGGGTGGGTTTGGGGTGTTGCTGACCATATTACAGGGATCCCTGGGCCTGAGGCTGGGAGCTGTGGCCCTGGGAGAGCTCCTACCTGCCTGGGGGCAGGCTCCTCCACCATTCTCTCCCTGGCACCCTCCTGGGATTGTGACTGAACCCCCTCACCTTGTCCACAGGACTTGGAGCCACACCTGAGGCAGGCCCGGGTGGACAGCCTGCCCAATGCCAGCATCCCTCCTTCCTCTGCTCTCTTTCCAGCGTGCCTAAGCGTCACACAGGACGCAGTACCCAGCAGGCCGCTGGGCCGCTGCAGGAGGCACCTGCTCCCACTCCTACAGTGGGCTGCTCCAGCTGATCCACAGCCTCTTCTGAACACAGGTGGACAAATGGACCCACTCCCTGGCCTCAATGTGCGACCAACCCAGTGGTCAGTCTCAGCTCCTGGCAGGGGCTGGGGGTCTGCACCTGCCACAGGTCATCTTTGGCAAGGCCGGTTGCTTTTCAGGGCCCCTTTTCCCCATCACCTGGAGGGAGCTGTGAAGCCACAGGCACAGCATGTGTYCCACCAAGGCAGCCTCCTTCAGGGGCCCTTTTCAGAGAGGAGGGCCTGGACTTCCAAATCCTCAGCCCCAGCCCCAGCCCCACCCTGAGGAATGGCGGTGAGGAGGGTCAAAGAGCACCCTTGGAATGTCACTTCAGACCCCTGGCATTCTCTGCAGATGTGGGCATGGAACCCAGGGTCTCCATAGGCAAGTGCTCTGCCACTGAGCCMCASCCCCAGCCCCTGCATGGCATTTTCATAAAAGACACTTGTAGAGGGAGCACAGCAAAGTCCTGGTGACAACCTGCTGGCATGCTGCCAGCCCTGTGACTTCCTGGGACACCCTTCCAGTGTTTCTTTCTGTGCATAGGTGATTACTTTTTTTTTTTTTTTTTTTAGGTACTTGGAATTGAAACTGGGGAGCTCTGCCACTGAGCTCCATCCCCAGCCCTTTCTATTTTTGAGATAGGCTCTCCCTAAATTGCCCACCCTCCTGCCTCAGCCTCCTGAGTTGCTGGGATTACATGTATGCACCATCCTCCCTGCAGATAGTCACATTTAAAATCTAGTTGTTGTTCTGTTTTTGGTGTTTTCTTTTTTGTGGTGCTGGTGCTAGTGAACCCAGTGTGCTCTACCCCCTATAGGGATGAGCTGCATCTCCAGTCCTTTCTATTTTATTTTGTGACAGGTTTTCACTAAGTTGCCAAGGAAGGCCTAGAATTTGCCATCCTCCTGCCTCAGCCTTCCCAGTTTCTGGGATCACAATAAAATTTAGTTTTTTAATTGTCAGTTATAAAAAAGTACACCCTCCCATCATGCTTCCCTGGGGCCCCCAGGGTCCCCATCCTTGTCCCCTTGTTCTCTGGCTCCGTGCGGCGCCGCACCCAGCGGGTTTCTCCTTGCGCTAGGCTGCCTCCCCCAGGTATCTGGCCCCGCGGCGCTGGGAAGCAGCCGTCACTGGGCTTCCCAACACGATCGGTCCATCCGCTCCTAGGCAGCAAGGCGTAGGCAGCACCTCGGAGGACGCCCGGCCCTCTGTCCCCCACGCTCCAGGGACCTTCGCGCCCCTTGCACCCGGGCCTCGGCACCGCGGTGGCCCCACGCATTCCTCTCCACCCGAGCCGCGAGCTCAGCGCCCAGCGAGTCCCACGTGCAGSGCGTCCCGCCGCCCGGGGTGCCAGCAACTTTGTTGACTGAATTCCTGAACCCGCCCGAACCGCGGGTCTAAAAATAGCCGGCGCGCCGAGCTCGAGGACAGCGCAGTCATTCCGTGTCAGGATGCCCGGAGATCCCCGCGTGCGGACGCCGCCAGCGGAGCGGGACGTGGCTCCAGGCCCGCGGAGGCTAGGCGGGACGGGTGGCCTAAGGGACCCTGAGGCGCCCAAGGGTCTCCTGAACACTGTCTTGTGTGCTCCCGGAACTCTCCCGTCCCAGGGCTGCGGACGCGAGGCTGCGGGAGGTCGCAGGCCGCCTAGCAGCCAGGCACCACCGCGCCCCCAGGCTCTCCGCGATTGCAGTCCTCCGCCACGGCCGCCAGGGGGCCCTGCCCGCTTCTCTTGCCGGCGGCCTATCCCCACCCCTTCCCACAGCTGTTTCCCGCAGGAGACTGACAGCTGGGCTCCGGTTGCCATGGGGATAAGCAAATGAGAGCGGCAGGGCTGGGGCTCCGATTGGCCCGGGGGCGCGTGCCCCCTCCCGGGGAGGCGGGCCTGGGCGCTCGGCTCTATAAAGGCACGCGAGGCTCCGCGCTCGGCCGTGGGAGGCGGGGCCGGACAGCAGCGCAGGCGGGGCGTGGGGCGGGGCAGCAGGGCCCGAGGCGTGGCCGCACAGCCACCAGCCGGGCAGGGACAGCAGAGGACGAGGACAAGGAGGAGGAGCAGGTGTCGGGCGGTGCGCCCGCCGCCCGCCGGGAGCGGGCCCCGGGCCGCCCTAGAAGCCCGGCTGGCGACCGTTCCCGGCGCACCACTCCTGAGTTGGCTGTACGAAACTTTTCCCTGCGCCATTAGGTGCCCCAACCCGGAGCCCGCGCCCCGCCCACGCTCGCCCCCGCCGGGACCACAGCCCTTGGGGAGCTCCGCAGGCGAAAGGCCCGCCGCTACTACCCCCGCCGCCCGTCGGGGCGCGGCCGGGTGCGGCGGCGGGGCTGGGGCCCCGGGCGATGGCCGCGGAGCTGGCGATGGGCGCTGAGCTGCCAAGCAGCCCACTGGCCATCGAGTACGTCAACGACTTCGACCTGATGAAGTTCGAGGTGAAGAAGGAGCCGCCTGAGGCCGAGCGCTTCTGCCACCGCTTGCCACCCGGCTCGCTCTCCTCGACGCCGCTCAGCACGCCCTGCTCCTCCGTTCCCTCCTCGCCCAGCTTCTGTGCGCCCAGCCCCGGCACCAGCGGCGGCGGCGGAGCGGGGGGCGGCGGCGGCGCAGCACAGGCCGGCGGTGCCCCGGGGCCTCCGAGCGGAGGCCCAGGCGCCGTCGGGGGCGCCTCTGGAAAGCCGGCGCTGGAGGATCTGTACTGGATGAGTGGCTACCAGCACCACCTCAACCCGGAGGCGCTCAACTTGACGCCCGAGGACGCGGTGGAGGCACTCATTGGAAGTGGTCACCACGCCGGGCACCATGGGGCACATCACCCGGCCGCCGCGGCCTACGAGGCCTTCCGGGGCCAGGGCTTCGCGGGCAGCGCCGGCGCGGACGACATGGGCACAGGCCACCACCACGGCGCACACCACACTGCCCACCACCACCACGCCGCCCACCACCATCACCACCACCACCACCACAGCAGYACAGGCCACCACGGCGGCGCGGGCCATGGCGGCGGCGGCGGCGCGGGCCACCACGTGCGCCTGGAGGAGCGCTTCTCCGACGACCAGCTGGTGTCTATGTCGGTACGCGAGCTGAATCGGCAGCTCCGTGGCTTCAGCAAGGAGGAGGTCATCCGGCTGAAGCAGAAGCGGCGCACACTAAAGAACCGCGGCTACGCACAGTCGTGCCGCTTCAAGCGGGTGCAGCAGCGGCACATTCTGGAGAGCGAGAAGTGCCAGCTCCAGAGCCAGGTGGAGCAGCTGAAGCTGGAGGTGGGGCGCCTGGCCAAGGAGCGGGACCTGTACAAGGAGAAATACGAGAAGCTGGCGGGCCGGGGCGGCCCCGGGGGCGCCGGCGGGGCCGGTTTCCCGCGAGAGCCCTCGCCGGCGCAGCCCGGCCCCGGCGGGGCCAAGGGTGCACCGCCCGACTTCTTCCTGTGAGCGCCGGACCCCGGGCCCGCACCGCCACCGGGGACAAGTTCGCGCAGGCAGCCGACGCCTCGGCTCGGACTCAATGGCTCGGGGCGCGCGCCAGGGGCCAGTGCAGCCGCATACGCGGTGGTCCGCCTGCGCTGGGACCGGCGCGCCTCTCCGCGAAGCCCGCGGTGCGGGGTGGAGGCCCTCCTCACCGCCTGCGCCCTCCCGCTCCGCGCGGTCTTGGGGTCGTAGTCGTGACGTTGCCGCGATCCCGCCGCACGCGGAGGACGGCGATGTCCAGGGAAGCCCGGGCCAGGTCTAACTTCCTCGCAAGCGTCCACTTGTACATATGTCGAGCGCGGCTCTCCGTTTCGACCTTCGGCCGTCCGCCCGCTGGGGGGCCGCGCGGCGGTGTCCTCTCGGGCAGCCTCTTCTTGCCCCGCGCGCCGCCTCTGATTTCTGCCTCCCCTTTCCTTGCCCTTTTTTACTCTTCCTCCTTTTTAAACCGGTCTTGTTTTCGCAGCATTTATTTATTTTGCTTGGTGATTGGAAAAGAAAACCCAGAAGAAGCCCCCTCCTTTCCCAGCCGGTGTTCCCTCGCGGTCCGCGAGTCCCCGCATGCGTCGCTCGCTCGCTCGGGGGCCGGTTCCCTGCCTGCCCGGCTGCCCGCTTGTCCCCCACCCCGCCGGCGTTCCCTGGAGACCGAAGCCGAGGGACGCCGGCGCCGCGTTCGGTCCCGCTGCCCTGCTGTACTCGACGGGGGGGAGGGGGGTGGGGGTCCTGTGCTCAGCCGGGTGGGGCTGGCCCGGACTCCCGCGCTGCTATATCTCTATGCACCAGATCGTATTTATGATTCCTGGGGAAATATATCTTATTTTAACTCTCAAGAGAAGTGAAAGAAAATAAAGTAATGCACAGTATTTCTAAAAGAAAGAATTTAAAGAGGAGGGTTAGGCCTGAACCTCCTGGCATGGTCGGGTAGAGAAAGTGTTTTAATTTAAATTGTGTTTCGTTGTTTGTGGAATCTTTTTAAAAAGCTTGTCCGCTTTTTGGACTGTCCCGGAGAGAGAACGGGAGGCGGCAGCTCTAAGCTGGTGGAAGCTCCCGCGGTCAGGTCAGGGGACCTGGTTCTCCCAGGCCCACGGTGGGGACTCCAGAGACACTGCACCCTCCACGGCTCCTGCTGGGCCTTCGGGCAGTAGCCACTCGTCAAAAGTTTTGTTGCGTTGCTACTTTTTGGTTTTGTTTTGTTTTCATTTGCTAYGGAACTGAGGAAAGAACACACACAAACAATAAATCCGTTTAGATCCAAAGTCTCAGGAGCCTGGCTGTTTTGTTTGTGGCTTTCATTTTTGCCATGCTTCTTCCTGAAAAGTAAGAAAAGAGATTCCTGGATTGGGCTTTGCTTTATTTCCGGGTGACCCCAAACTAAAGTGGTGGAAACTGGCTGTGCGGAATGAGGAGGCTGACCTGGCTCCCCGCCGGGCAAGCCCCCGCAAGGTTCTGRCCCTGTGCTCCCACCAACACCTACCAAGGTTCAGGGTGGGTGTAGGACGGTTATGTCCTGGTGGCAGGAACCGTCCCAGCTCCCCTAAACCTGCTGGTTTCCTCTGGAGTGGCCACTGGCCTCTGTCCACTGAAGGGCTGACTCTTCTCCCCTTCACCTCGGCCAGGGTTCTTGGGGTTCCTGCTGTCAGATTTGGAGGGGCTGCTCACCTCTCCTTGAAGGTTCCAGGACACGCCTCTCCCCAGAGGGTGGCTTTTGCCTGGGGAAGCAGAAGTTCCCTTTTCCCCGGGGGCACTTCAGTGGCTCAATCCCAGGTCCCAGAAAAGGCAGGTCCAACCTGCTCTTGGTGGGGATTGAGCAAAATCCCAGGTTGGGGGAGCCTGGGTCTCCGCTGGAGGAAATGCCGAGGGAAGAGAAGGAATTCAGGCCCTCGGGTGGGCCGGCGGGCGGGGGCTTTGTGAAAGGGAGTGTTTCAGAAGCTACTGTGTGAGAGTGTGACGGGGGAGTGCAGGCTCCGCCAGGCTGTGCAGGAAAGTCTCCTCAGGCCAGAGTATCTACCCACAGAAGACACTCCCAAGAGGGCAGCGAGTGGTGGGTGTGCAGCCGGGGACCGYTGGTCTGGTTTTGGAAGTTGGAAGTCCTAGTGGAGCACAGAGGACATGGGACACCGCAGTCACCATTCTGAGGAGTCTTTACACAGCGCCTTCATCCTGGAAGAGAAAGTGCAAGTATAGGGCCCAGGCTGGACACTGGGCAGCGTGTGCAGGGGCTGTCCTGTGCAGGGGCAGTCTTTTTCTGGTGGGGGAGGGGTGGCGGCAGCAGCGGCACTCACCACTCACCTTCCCTCCCTGCCTTGGTCTTCCAGAGCGCAGCACCTGGCCTCTGGACCTCTAAGGGTGCCTGGAAGCAGGGTGCCTGGGGGCTTGGCTGCAAGGCTGCTGGGGGCAGGACGCAGCAGCCACCAGCTTTTCTCTGCAGCCAGGGCCCGGGTCTGCAGCAGCGGGTTTGACTTCTCTTTCCTCTTCCTCCCTCTCTCCCTCTTTTTTATTTTATTTATTTATTTATTTTAGTAGTAGTTGGACACGATACCTTTATTGTATTTGTTTATTTTTATGTGGTGCCGGGATTGAACCCAGTGCCTCATGCATGTTAGGCGAAMGCTGTGGCCTGCAGTGGAGGGAAGCGCCTGGCCTGTGTATGGTGCCACAGCACATGCTGCGGGCTCCTCTGCACAGGCCTCCCGGGGGCCAGCTGGGAACCAGGGGTGGGGAAAGGGGAGGCTCACACAACTCTAGTTGTTTGGGTCAGAGAGGTTTGGGTGGGCTGGCTGGGGCCAGGAGAGTTGGCAGGTCTAGAGCCCACCTTGCAGGGCCTCTGGGCATCAAGGGCAGGAAGTTTCCTGAAGAGCCGCTGCAGAGCAACCTGCATACAAGTGAGGAGTGTGTGTGTGTGTGTGTGTGTGTGTGTGTGTGCACAGCAGGGTGTGTGCGGGTCTGCTAGGGTGTGTGGGGGCAGTGGCAGCACAGGGGCTCTGGGCCAGAGCCACTTGGGCCCTTGGTCTGAGAGGGTGCTAGAGGGAACTGGGCCTGAAGCCAGGGTGACCACTGTGCAGGGCAGCAGGACAAGCGTCCGCTTGCCTCTTGGTTCCCCCAGCCCCTCTCCAGCCCTGCTGGCACCTAGATGTTCCAAGAGGAGGGCCTATGTGTCCCAGTATCTCCAGCCGTGACATCTGGAGCCCGAACCTGCTGGGCCTCCCTCACACCTGGCTGACAAGGCTGCCCAGGGCCCACCAGGCCACCTCCTCACCCCTTCCTGCCTCTTGAAGTCCCAGTAGGATCTACAATCATGACAGTAAAACCAGCCAAGTAAACCCGGAGGCGGCCTCTGTGCTCTGGTGGGTAGAAGGAGGAAGCTGGGCTGGGGGTTGGGTGACCCTCCCAGCAGATGCGGAGGCTGAGGCAGCAAGAGGACCTTCTGTTCCAGGGCTGCCCTACTTCCCACTGGCCGCCATGGGGGAGAGAGGCTGCAGGGGGTGAAGCGTGTGGTCCATGCACTGGGTGGGCCTGGGGAAGGAGAGGGCCCTGCTCCCACAGGACCACCAGGTTCCCATGCCCAGCGCTCCTTCCCCTGGAATCCCCAGATGCTGGGTCCAGGGTAGCCCCGGCACCAGCCACCCCTGCTTCCAGCCCCAGCTGAAACAAGCCCACCCTAGGAAGCCCAGCCCCCTACTCTCTACTCTACCCTTCCCTGGACCTGGCCTAACACCCAGCTGGGCTTCTGCTAGGGTGCCCCAACAACACCACACACACAGTTCTTGGCCAGACCCCTGACCCTCCAGTGGGTCAGGATCTTCACAAAGCCTCTGAAGACCTGGACCCAGACACCAGTGCTGCAGGGAGGCCCATCCTAGCCCTGGCCCCGGGTCCCTGAAGCTGGCCGGTCGCAGCCTGTTTCTGAGGCCCAGGCTGCTCCACTGGGGCACCCACAACCCTCCAGCCTCTGCGCTGCCTCCTCCTGCCTCCCTGTGCTTCCCCTTGGCCGCAGGCAGGCCCCTCTGCCTCCTGGGTACAGCTGGCTCTAAGGCTGGGCAGGGCAAGGCCTAGGTATCCTCCCTATCCCCAGAGGAGAGGCCCCTGCAGCACAGGTGCACCCCTGGGCCTGCCCAGCACACACGGCCACATGCACGCTCAGACTCAGCCACAGCTGAGCCAGGGCACAGACCCACAGGCACGTGCCAGCAGACGCAGTCGCACACACAGACCCCTCACGCCACATCCTGTTCACGGGGCCACTGCAGGCTCTGATGCAGGCCGCCTACCCAGTCCTGGTTCTGCCCTTAGCCAGTCTGCAGTCAGCAGGTCTACCTGCCCTGGCCTCTGCCACCTCTCTCCCAGCCTGTCCTCGAGGCCACCAGGGAGTTCTAATATCTCTTCCAGGTGGAGGCCTTGCTCCCTGCTGCTCACCATTGAAGCTAATTTGGCCCTCCTAGGGTCCCGCTCCATTCCAGGGACAAAGGAGGGGTACAAAGGCCAGCCCCCCAGTTGGGCCATCTCCAACCAGCCCAACRACTGTGTCTGTGCCTGAGCTGGGGGCTCTTTATTGGCAGCCCGACTGCCCACTGGGGACCTGGTCAGCCTGGGAGGAAGCTGTGGAGTGTCTCACAGTCACACCAAGGGGTTCCTCCAGAAAGGGTCATGAGTAGGGCCAGGAGCCCGGGATCCCACACTGCTACCCCAGCCCCCAGGAAAGGTGAAGCCTCTCCCATCCTGGCCCAGGGCTCCTGACCCAGGGCCAGGGACCTGGTCAGGAAGTGTCAGGAGGAAGCTGGTTTCACCCCCTCACCTGCCAGCTGCTCTGGGAAGCAGGGCCGTGGGCGCTTTGAAGCTGGGTGTGGGGGTGACAAGCTGACTGTTGGACAGGGGAGGGAGGGCCATCAGTCCTGCAGGGTCCACTGCTCTTCTCCTGCCCCTCCTCCACCCCTGCCTGCCACTCGGACTGCAGGACCAGCCCTGCCTCTCCTGTCCCTGGCCCAGCTGCCTGGTCAGCAGTTCCTGAGGCCACGGAGCTGGGCCAGGGCCCAGGGAGGCCCTGCCAGGGTGTAGGAACAAGGCTC